CCATCCCTTCCTCCACTCAAGTCTCTCTCACTATAACAAAATAATCTTTTTAACAGCCTCCTAAGACTGTAACTTAGACAACATTTAAATTCATTACAATATCCTTTGACCATTCACCTTTGTTATCCAGACTTTTCTTAAATCTACAAAAGCTGTCTTTATCTTTAGTCACCACCATGTCTAACGACCTCCAGGAGTCAAAATTATGTTAGACATATTAGTTCTAAATCAACACTATAATTTCCCTTGCCCATAAGGCAACCGACATCCAAAGGTTTTGTTACTGTCTCCACAACAACTAATGGGAATCACTTCATGGCCCTGACTGAACCCCGAAGCCCCCTTCCTGTTAGCTCTTTATCTATAATCTCCATTAGGGTTTGGTCCCCTGGCATACATAGAGCTTGTCACAATGAGAAACAAGCCATGCAGTGAATGCGGTTTCTGGTGAGTGGGATAGAGGGACTTACGTTTTCTGGGGCAGACTGCCGTGACTCCTCACAGCTCCATCCCCCCTAACGATACAGGATGCTGTTGGCCTCGCAGACATCCGTCCACTCTCATACCCAACCTCACATAAACACCTCCATCAGGAGATGCCCAGTGTCTGCGTGATCCCCCTGCCTTAGGTTGCCTACTATTTGGCCAAAGAAGGTCTTACCCGTCATTGAGATGACCACTCGTGCACACATGGTAACCGCCATTTTCTCAAAACCGTTTTCTTCAACAAAATCTGTTGTTTCTGGAGCTTAGGAAAAATATTCAAGAGTCACCAGGGCCCTTCGGATTGCCTAATAGTTGTAACACAGGGAGACGGGTTAATAACAACAGTATTCAATCACTTAAATCCATTAACCATCTTAAAAGTAGCAACTAGCTACTCAGTGGATTTAGATCACAACCGTACATTCAGTGCACTTCATCTGTAGGCGGAGCCATCGGCCCCGCCCCCGTTTCATGGTGGGGACTAAGATCTTCAGACAAAGAAGTTACTGGTTCACAAATAACCTAGTCAAAGATGTACCTTCGTTTCGTCTAGTATTATTTTAATGACTTCTTTAAAGTTCTTCAGTTTTACTTTTAAAACATTTAAAATACAAATTGCCTCTGAATGGCAATGATTTCTCTTAACATCTCTGTGTCTGATCTTCAACTGAAACACTGTGTTTTAATACAAATAGCTTATTATCACTAATGACACAGGCTCAGATAACATCTTTAGCTGACATTGAATGAGAGAGAGACTGTGAGGTATTCAGGACTGGTACTGCATGCTCATAAACTTCTAACATCAAACTTTATCCCATCGTTTAACTCTATTCCAACTTAAGGCATCTTTGCCAGAAATTACATACGGTTTCAAATAAGCATTATTTACATTTGTCTTTTGCCCACATCAGGGAATTTAATTCATTACTAATTTCCTCTCAGATTGAGTCTCTGTTGCACTGGCAGTTTTCAGCCACAGTACACATCAGATTCAGATAAGCAAACTGTTACATTACAGCCCAAAACAAACTTATCTTTTGAAAGCTAAACATCAGCTTCTAGTTCTTTCATGGTCAACTTCTCAAGTCGTTTGTTTAATCAACATTCAACAACTGCTAATAAAGTACTGCTTCTGCTTATTTGTTCTTAAATAAAATAATTATTCTAGTTCTCAATAACGTTTCTCATTTCTCAATCTCAATTTTTATCGTCAAGTTCTCAACCATAGTTTAATATTTGACTTAAGTTTTCTCTTGGAGTTTATCAATCTCCAATTAGGATTCACACTAACTTTGACGAGGCAAGCACTCTCTGCTTGTGATACCTTTGCAGTTATTGTAAATCATCTGTGCGATTAGTCTCTCTATATCATCTAAAACCTTTTTACCTTTTAGTTACTTTGATATATTTTGCTACTTACATTAGTCATTCATTTTACATCAAACTGTAGGCCTATTCGTGTTAAATGATCCTGCTGACCACAATTAAAACACTCTCTATCCGCTCCAACTTATTGCACACACTTGTAGCAGTGTGTCCCACTCAGGAATGCACACAGAGCCACTGATAAGCAGTTCTCTGTATTCTTTTACAGTCCACCAGTGGCGGATTTAATCACAATAGCCCAATCATAATCTTCTTCATTATTATTGACAGAACATTAATTTTCATAAGCCGCATCGAAATGCTCAAAATATTCTAAGTTGTTTTCACAAAGTTTCTTAACTACTTTGGTCACACTTGTCCTGGGAAATTATCCCTGACCCAAACTTTCCTTTTATAAAACAATATCTTATTTCAATGTCAATCAACCTTACTGATTTCCAGAATCTTTGGACATAGCTGTCTTAACATTTTTACATTCATGATGAACGCAGCCACAACAGCCTGTTTGCTTTTCGCTGCCCTGTTCCAATGATTTCTTCACTAGCCTACCTTTAGCCTGGTAGCGCTCAGTGTTCCCTCACTGGGAAAATCATGATACTTTATCAATTTTCTATATCCACACATTTCTGCCCATAATGTTTTCTCATTTGACCAAAACACCGGTGTATCATATCTGGCAAGCTTGCTCTGAGATTTCCTCATACTGGCTGTTTCTATTTCCCCCCGTGGATTTTCCTTCGACGCGTCTAATAATCTGTCGGACGTCTCCAACAGATCCGATCTCTTAACCCAAGATCGGTCAAGGTGCACTACCAGCGCTTTATCTACTGGAAATCTTTTGACCCCGCTGCAGATCTTCAATTACCCCACAGATTAGAGCCCACCTGAAATCTCTTGACCTGCTTTCAGCTCTCAAGTGATCTCGGACCGTAATCTGGGCGAAATCTCTGACCTGACAAATGTCAATTAATTTCAGATTTACGAAAACTCAGTGTCCATATGAAATTTCTTGACCTGACAACAGGTCTCAATTAATCTTGGACTACTCTCTTATTCGCAATTTACGAAAACTCAGTGTCCATATGAAATTTCTTGACCTGCCAACAGGTCTCAATTAATCTTGGACTACTCTCTTATTCGCAACCACCGAAATAGACCCCAGCCAGTACAGTTCCTCTCAATTATATACCCAATATAAAATGAATTTAGCTGTGTCTTACCAGGATGTCTTTTCTCTGTGCCTCGGGTTCTTTTTGATTCCAGTGGAGCCTCTCCTGGGCCTGATAGCGGTCGGCCCCTCTCTCTCAAGCTTACGAGGTAGAGCTGGAACTGCTCAGTCCAGGTGGCCAAACACCGTCCGCTCTCAGGTCCAGAAGGCACTTCCAAGGAATCCCATTCTTCTGACACCAATTGTTAAGGCAAAAATTCAATAAACAGACATCACTTCGTAAGAGACACTCTGAGTCAAATTAATAAAGGGAAAGGTTTATTATTCTTGCAAGAACAATAAGGCTCAATCACCAACACAGATCACTGCGAAGTGGAGTGACGCCCAGAACACAGGCCGGGGTGAAGACTAAATAGCCCTCCCCAAGGTTATTTACTGCAAGCCGAGCCTTCTCTGTAAATTTCCACAAAGTTATAGGATTCATGATGCCAGGTTAGATTTACTAACCCCCTCAACCCCTCCCAGTCTAAGATGACCCCTGACCCGGCCGGTCCTCTGGTGCCTAGCTCCACTCTTGATAAGGGAGAACAATTAATACATGTGAGATTAAAATTTCCACAACAAGGCTAAATGAACAAACCCTTCATCTCCTTGAATTGCAGGTGGATTCCTCCACAGGAGAGGGAGAGGCATACAATTCCGTTCCGCTCAGGGACACTGCTTTGACGACCGGTCCTCGTTAGTATAGTGGACAGTATCTCCGCCTGTCACGCGGAAGACCGGGGTTCGATTCCCCGACGGGGAGGCTTCTTTTTTACCACGGACAAACACCTTTTATGAGCTCGTGCTCTGCCGTGGAAACTGCTGATAAAGCCAACCCTGCCGTTCAAGACTCACCTGAGGGTGGTAAGCTAATTCTATTTGAAAGGTTTTACTTTCAAGATAGCATTTGCATTGGTTTGTAAAAGGTTGGTTTATGCATGTTTGACCTAAGTTTGTGTGGCATTTCCACTATTGCATTTCCAATCTGACCAGCAGGGTTCACCAGTGTGGCCATCCGAATGCGTTGAAACATTAGAGGATGGAGCAAATGTAATAAGAATCTGCCCCATCACCAGATGACCGGCAAACCCTGTCTAAGAGGATGTCCCTGAATCCAGTAGTACGTGGAAGACCAGTGTCTAGAATTCGCATGAGGTTTTTAGGAACTTTCTGGAGGCTAAATGAACAAACCCTTCATCTCCTTGGATTGCAGGTGGATTCCTCCACAGGAGAGGGAGAGCTCCTCTTCCTGCCCCCTTGGCCAAAATGAAAGGCTTAAATAACAATAACTCCCATAAAGCATGTCCAGTATTAATTGACTTCTCAACGGCTGAGCATACAATGCCGTACCGCTCAGGGACACTGCTGTGACGACCGATCCTCGTTAGTATAGTGGACAGTATCTCCGCCTGTCACGCGGAAGACCGGGGTTCGATTCCCCGACGGGGAGGCTTCTTCTTTACCACGGACAAACACCTTGTATGAGCTCATGCTCTGCTGTGGAAACTGCTGATAAAGCCAACCCTGCCGTTCAAGACTCACCTGAGGGTGGTTAGCTAATTCTATTTGAAAGGTTTTACTTTCAAGATAGCATTTGCATTGGTTTGTAAAAGGTTGGTTTATGCATGTTTGACCTGAGTTTGTGTGGCATTTCCAGTGTTGCATTTCCAATCTGACCAGCAGGGGTCACCGGTGTGGCCTTCCGAATGCGTTGAAACAGTTAATCAATTTGCAAAGCAATCAGTTGAAAGCTTTGAAAAGCTTTGTTTCTCCCAACACTACCCTTTTGTGATTGGTAAACCTTACAATCATTCTGCTGACCCAAGATTTGAAGTTGTGAACTGGGAAAGTGGCAATGGTTTGCCCACCACCCAGCTCCAAACAAAAAGTCTTCTGTTTTTGAACAAAAGCATTTAGCTCTACTGTGAGCAGAGCATCCAAAAATACCAATAACTCGCAAACGTTCCCCTCCACGGAAATCTTTAGTAAAAGGCGAAAGATTTATGCGTGAATGAAGAGAAACTTGAGCTGTAACCATGAGACGTTGGGACAATGTGCTATCACACACATGCCACCATGCTCAGCAAGGGTAATGTCTGGTGCAGGCTCCTCCCACCCAGCTTTTTTGTCTTTTTTTGTTAAAAACAATAATATAGCCATTTCCATTAGAGGATGGAGCAAATGTAATAAGAATCTGCCCCATCGCCAGATGACCGGCAAACCCTGTCTAAGAGGATGTCCCTGAATCCAGTAGTACGTGGAAGACCAGTGTCTAGAATTCGCTTGATATTTTAATAGAACTTTCTTGAGGCTAAATGAACAAACCCTTCATCTCCTTGAATTGCAGGTGGATTCCTCCACAGGAGAGGGAGAGGCATACAATTCCGTTCCGCTCAGGGACACTGCTTTGACGACCGGTCCTCGTTAGTATAGTGGACAGTATCTCCGCCTGTCACGCGGAAGACCGGGGTTCGATTCCCCGACGGGGAGGCTTCTTTTTTACCACGGACAAACACCTTTTATGAGCTCGTGCTCTGCCGTGGAAACTGCTGATAAAGCCAACCCTGCCGTTCAAGACTCACCTGAGGGTGGTAAGCTAATTCTATTTGAAAGGTTTTACTTTCAAGATAGCATTTGCATTGGTTTGTAAAAGGTTGGTTTATGCATGTTTGACCTAAGTTTGTGTGGCATTTCCACTATTGCATTTCCAATCTGACCAGCAGGGTTCACCAGTGTGGCCATCCGAATGCGTTGAAACATTAGAGGATGGAGCAAATGTAATAAGAATCTGCCCCATCACCAGATGACCGGCAAACCCTGTCTAAGAGGATGTCCCTGAATCCAGTAGTACGTGGAAGACCAGTGTCTAGAATTCGCATGAGGTTTTTAGGAACTTTCTGGAGGCTAAATGAACAAACCCTTCATCTCCTTGGATTGCAGGTGGATTCCTCCACAGGAGAGGGAGAGCTCCTCTTCCTGCCCCCCTTGGCCAAAATGAAAGGCTTAAATAACAATAACTCCCATAAAGCATGTCCAGTATTAATTGACTTCTCAACGGCTGAGCATACAATGCCGTACCGCTCAGGGACACTGCTGTGACGACCGATCCTCGTTAGTATAGTGGACAGTATCTCCGCCTGTCACGCGGAAGACCGGGGTTCGATTCCCCGACGGGGAGGCTTCTTCTTTACCACGGACAAACACCTTGTATGAGCTCATGCTCTGCTGTGGAAACTGCTGATAAAGCCAACCCTTCCGTTCAAGACTCACCTGAGGGTGGTTAGCTAATTCTATTTGAAAGGTTTTACTTTCAAGATAGCATTTGCATTGGTTTGTAAAAGGTTGGTTTATGCATGTTTGACCTGAGTTTGTGTGGCATTTCCAGTGTTGCATTTCCAATCTGACCAGCAGGGGTCACCAGTGTGGCCTTCCGAATGCGTTGAAACAGTTAATCAATTTGCAAAGCAATCAATTGAAAGCTTTGAAAAGCTTTGTTACTCCCAACACTACCCTTTTGTGATTGGTAAACCTTACAATCATTCTGCTGACCCAAGATTTGAAGTTGTGAACTGGGAAAGTGGCAATGGTTTGACCACCACCCAGCTCCAAACAAAAAGTCTTCTGTTTTTGAACAAAAGCATTTAGCTCTACTGTGAGCAGAGCATCCAAAAATACCAATAACTCGCAAACGTTCCCCTCCACGGAAATCTTTAGTAAAAGGCGAAAGATTTATGCGTGAATGAAGAGAAACTCGAGCTGTAACCATGAGACGTTGGGACAATGTGCTATCACACACATGCCACCATGCTCAGCAAGGGTAATGTCTGGTGCAGGCTCCTCCCACCCAGCTTTTTGTCTTTTTTTTGTTAAAAACAATAATATAGCCATTTCCATTAGAGGATGGAGCAAATGTAATAAGAATCTGCCCCATCACCAGATGACAGGCAAACCCTGTCTAAGAGGATGTCCCTGAATCCAGTAGTACGTGGAAGACCAGTGTCTAGAATTCGCTTGATATTTTAATGGAACTTTCTGGAGGCTAAATGAACAAACCCTTCATCTCCTTGGATTGCAGGTGGATTCCTCCACAGGAGAGGGAGAGGCATACAATGCGGTACCGCTCAGGGACACTGTTTTGACGACCGGTCCTTGTTAGTATAGTGGACATTATCTCCGCCTGTCACGCGGAAGACCGGGGTTCGATTCCCCGATGGGGAGGCTTCTTCTTTACCACGGACAAACACCTTGTATGAGCTCATGCTCTGCTGTGGAAACTGCTGATAAAGCCAACCCTGCCGCTCAAGACTCACCTGAGGGTGGTAAGCTAATTCTATTTGAAAGGTTTTACTTTCAAGATAGCATTTGCATTGGTTTGTAAAAGGTTGGTTTATGCATGTTTGACTTAAGTTTGTGTGGCATTTCCACTATTGCATTTCCAATCTTACCAGCAGGGTTCACCAGTGTGGCCATCCGAATGCGTTGAAACATTAGAGGATGGAGCAAATGTAATAAGAATCTGCCCCATCACCAGATGACCGGCAAACCCTGTCTAAGAGGATGTCCCTGAATCCAGTATTACGTGGAAGACCAGTGTCTAGAATTCGCATGAGGTTTTTAGGAACTTTCTGGAGGCTAAATGAACAAACCCTTCATCTCCTTGGATTGCAGGTGGATTCCTCCACAGGAGAGGGAGAGGTATACAATGCGGTACCGCTCAGGGACACTGTTTTGACGACCGGTCCTTGTTAGTATAGTGGACATTATCTCCGCCTGTCACGCGGAAGACCGGGGTTCGATTCCCCGATGGGGAGGCTTCTTCTTTACCACGGACAAACACCTTGTATGAGCTCATGCTCTGCTGTGGAAACTGCTGATAAAGCCAACCCTGCCGTTCAAGACTCACCTGAGGGTGGTAAGCTAATTCTATTTGAAAGGTTTTACTTTCAAGATAGCATTTGCATTGGTTTGTAAAAGGTTGGTTTATGCATGTTTGACTTAAGTTTGTGTGGCATTTCCACTATTGCATTTCCAATCTTACCAGCAGGGTTCACCAGTGTGGCCATCCGAATGCGTTGAAACATTAGAGGATGGAGCAAATGTAATAAGAATCTGCCCCATCACCAGATGACCGGCAAACCCTGTCTAAGAGGATGTCCCTGAATCCAGTATTACGTGGAAGACCAGTGTCTAGAATTCGCATGAGGTTTTTAGGAACTTTCTGGAGGCTAAATGAACAAACCCTTCATCTCCTTGGATTGCAGGTGGATTCCTCCACAGGAGAGGGAGAGCTCCTCTTCCTGCCCCCCTTGGCCAAAATGAAAGGCTTAAATAACAATAACTCCCATAAAGCATGTCCAGTATTAATTGACTTCTCAACGGCTGAGCATACAATGCCGTACCGCTCAGGGACACTGCTGTGACGACCTGTCACGCGGAGGCCAGTCGCGTGTAGGTGTAGAGCGCTGCCAGCCAATAGGAACGCAGGAAATTTCAGGGAGGCGGGCCAGAAAAAGTACACAAAATCATAGGTTCGAGTCCCGTCTCGACCACAAATATCATATATTGTATCTAGATTAAAAAATGATTACAAATTCATGTCAAGTACGATTTACATATAATAAACTAAATTTTTGCTGAAAATAGAATAAAACTTTTAAGATTTGTTCTTGTGTAGGATGTACGAAATGTCCAATTATCTCAATAAACATTTAAATTATAATAGGGTATAGTTCTCTTTTAATATAGAAAATATTTGAATGTGAATAATTGTAAAGAACATTTTGATAATGTTTTATACCTTTATTTTTTTTTTAGAGATTTTCACATTATATTTCTTTAACTATGCACAGAAATCCAATATATACAGTATATATGAAATATAACCAGTAAACACCAAATAGTAAGTTTATCATTTTATTTATAATACAATAATATACATATTATTATGTAAAACTGAAAAAGGTAATGTATTAAATACTTATAGATTAAACAACAATAACATGAATAATAACAATAATAATAACATAAAGCTGGAAAAAAAAACAAGATTTAAAAAAATACAAAATAATTATGTACAATGTTTAATTAACAGTTATTAATAGTGTTTACACATCAGACCAAGATAAAATAATGCAAGTCAATAAAATTAACTTTAAAAACACACCAAATTGCAATGCAAACAAGGACTAAACTGTTTGATTTTAATGGACAATGGAAAGAAATTTAACAATTTAATTTGTAGGCTAGTTAAACTCTTTTAACTTTTAATGATTAGTGTTATATTTTTAAAGTTTGTGGGTCGTGTAAAAAACAAAAAAAAAATCCCTTATTTTTGGGGATGGATTCTGGGAAATCTTTCTTATTTTCAATGTTGACAGCTGGACTGGATGCGGTAAAAGTTTAATATATCAACTTGCTCTGCTTAATACGTCACCTTCTTCGTTGCTCTGATTGCCTTTAGCGCTATCCAATTGCGTGCAGAGAGAATTTGAAAGACAACCGTTTATCCCGCCCCTCGGATTGAGCCCTGTCAATGATGAGTTTCCAGACCTAACATCTCGATGTAGGTCTGGCATGCCAGGCTAACCACTACCCTTTTGTGATTGGTAAACCTTACAATCATGCTGCTGACCCAAGATTTGAGGGGTCACCAGTGTGGCCTTCCGAATACGTTGAAACAGTTAATCAATTTGCAAAGCAATCAGTTGAAAGCTTTGAAAAGCTTTGTTTCTCCCACCACTACTCTTTTGTGATTGGTAAACCTTACAATCATGCTGCTGACCCAAGATTTGAAGTTGTGAACTGGGAAAGTGGCGATGGTTTGACTACCACCCAGCTCCAAACAAAAAGTCTTCTGTTTTTGAACAAACGCATGTAACTCTGCTGTGAGCAGAGCATCCAAAAATACCAATAACTCGCAAATGTTCCCCTCCCATAATAACTTAATAACAATAACTCCCATAATGGAAAGCATGTCCAGTATTAACCCTCTGATTGTCCTCGGTCACTTCTGACCAAATAATTTTCTGTTT